AATGGTATTGAAAAATTCATTACTATACCTGATGGGTATTACAGCGTATGCTCACTCAATGATGAAATTTTTAAGCCTAATGGAGCTAGTCTAACACAAAATGAGTCGAATGGGATAGTGAAAGTCGACTCTGGAGAAAACGTTGTAGTTCTTAGGCCATACTTAGAAGTTACACTTGGATTTCATCATAGAATAGGAATTATAAATTCTAACAAACCACGACAGGGAATTAAATTACCCGATTTAGTTCCCTATAAAGAGTTGTTCATCCATCTTGATCAAATAAGCACGACAGATAATATTCAACTAGAAAGTCCTTCAACTCTACTCAGAAGTGTTCCAGTGAAAAATGAAAAATATAATAGCGGTAGAACGGAATCATTCTCGTTATTACAATATAAAAAAATGAAGCGGGGTATTATTTCAGACCTTAAAATTTCTGTATTAGATGTAAAACATCAACCTGTACATATAGGATACTTAAGTGTAACACTCCATATTAAAAATAATGGTTGATGCATCAGGCCCTGGAACAGTAAGACAATGTAATACAATTGCGCTTTCCGATCTCGGAGACACGGAAGGATTTGATAAACCCGGTGACAATGGTAAGTTATACGCTTTACACTTACACGATAATGTATACAAGCGGAAAGAAGTCACATTCACGGGTAATCTAGGAGATTTAAGCGATGTCGACGTTAGTAGACTCCTTAAAAACACTTCGTACAATATTACTCGCAACGATGATAATAAATGGACTATGGTCGAAGCAAACATCGAGTGGCTACTGAATATCGTCATTATCCCACCTTATGCGATGATGGGTAAGGGACATAATTTAACTAAGATAATAAATAGTGGCATCGTACTCGCGGCTTATATCCCGTCAAAACGAAAAAGTGTGTTGGTCACTCCCCTGCCAGATGATCCAGGTCATATGATATATAGTCGTCCGGCCTTAAAAAACATTAGTTTAAATTTGGTTACTGAATTCGAAGAAATTAAAGTTAACCTAAGTGCAATACCTAATCTTTCTACGCTTATTATTGAAGTCTTGTTCGGAGATGCACCGGTAGATGCCTTCGAAATATTACCAGGTCTATCGATTAAATGGTTCAAGAATCACGAGCGTCAACGTTGCAGTATTATTCATATCGGAGCATCGCCCGTTGCAACCCTCGAGGGGGTCCAAATTATTAAAAGTGGTAGTATTTCTCTTTCTAAGATATTATTGCCGTATAATATACATTTAATAAGGTTGATGTATAGTCTCAAAACATTTAAGCAAGACCAATTAAAGACTATTATATGATCGTTATATACACTATGAGTTTATATCCGGCGCTCAATGAAGCATTTGAAAAGATGGAAACTGTTGATGGATTTCGATTACATCAAATAAGCGACATAAAACATCGAATAGGGAAGGATAGGGAGTTGAGACTTGGATTGTATAAAAAGTATCGCAGAGCCGTGAATGCTCTGGACGGAGTTGACACCGCTCTTGTAGTATCTGGCATGGGACTCGGTGTAGCGGGTATCGGTTTACTATCAACTATAATCGCCGCGCCTATCGTGCTAGGCATGGAAATAGCCGCTGGAGTCTCGGGACTGGCAGGAATAGCGATAAAATTCATTTCTCGTGGGTTACAAAAGAAAGCATTAAAACACGATAATATTCGGATACTCGCCGAAGCAAAGTTGAACAGCATCGAGGATCATATTTCGACAGCAATGGCCGATTGTAAGATATCCGAGGATGAGTTTCGTTTAGTGCTGTCGGAACTCAACAAATACAATAAGATGAAGCAGGAGATTCGATCAAAATCTCGTAAGACCAGTGGTATTAGCGAAGACGAGAAAAAAAAGTTCATAGAAGAGGGGAGGCAACAAGCGCGTCAATTATTCCGTGCCAAAACCAAAGAACTGGTTGGAGATTAAAAATAGATTGCTTACTATCGTTTGATCACATTTAGACAATTGCTTACATAAATATATAATAATGGAGAAAGCTATTAAATGGAAAGAATTACCACAAGGTTTTTATTATATCAGTGATGTCAAACCAACCAAATACGGTTATCAATTGTTTCTTATCAATTTACAAAAAGAGTGTAGTTATATAGTCTGGTCTCCTAGTAAAATTAACGAAGAACTTAATAAAAATGTTGAACATCGCTTTATCGATAAAAATAATCAAGAATATTTTTATTACCATTTAGGCTCATCTAAAGCAATGATTGGCCCCAGGTATTGGTGAGCTAGAGCCAATTTAACTTAAACTCATGACTATCGTTAAATCGCATAATCATTTTGACATAAAAAATCCCCCCTGTAGTAGCAGTATAGGTATATGAATCTGGCTCCAGTGGAAGTGGTCCAGAACCATCATTACCTATACTACTCAGGAGCCTTACAGACCATGTAGGCAAAACATACTGTGTAGGGAGTAGAGAACACAACGCAAACCACTGCAGTAAACATCTGACATTTGCCCTATATCTATATTGTTCTGCTGTCACAGGGCACCTATTAGAGGGCACCTACTTCAATCAAAACTGGTGGTGGCTTTGGTTTCTAGTCAATATGAGTTACCTCCCTTACCCATTTGCTTTTTCCTTATCTCAATGTTTTATTGGTGTCGGTTAAATGTCAATGAAAATCAAGGGCAGGTAATTTAAGATTGCGAGAACCACGGGAACGGGTCCAGGGGTTAGTGTAGGTTTACCGAAATCCGAGACCTGGAGATAGAGAGGATGAAACATGGATGTGTTCACAAGCTCTGACTTGACTGTGGTCATTGTAACTGTGTTGGGTAGCACAGATCACACACTCTTTCCATCCCATGGCAAGTTGGCAACAGTGTATTTATCTAATGGAATGACTAAAATGCTCCCAATTACCAGTTGAAGATTGAATATTTTAGGTTTTCATAAAAAAAACCTCATAACACAGAGCTCCAGATAAGCTTTTGGTGTTGTGGGTATTTTACCCATGCATTTTAAAATCATTGGGTATCAGTAATTCTACCTGCGTATTCAAATTTCTGTTACCCACTAGTTTTTACACATGTGGGTATTTAAGTTAAATATTTAAAAACACTATTCATCCAGTCCCTGCAAACTGGTGTCGTGTGGGTTCGAGAGCTTTATAGGACTCTAAAATACCACGATACATCCACAAGAAAGTGTGATGGCAAATGATCATGATGTAACTGTCATCGTGGAGTTTGGCAAGGTTGATGGAATGCCCCTTTATAATTTCAAAATAAGTTGCTGATTTGCTAATCGAATACACAGGGTTACTTCACAATATTTTGATGATACGCACAAGTTTTATTTTCGTAGCGTATCTGTAATGTTTGTTGCGTATTTGATACGCTTGGATTATATTTTACTGTGTATTTCTGCATTTCTGATGCGTATTTCACGCAGATACGCAGCTTATCTGGAGCTCTGTAACATTCCAAACACCTGTTGTACAAGTGGACCCATGATCCACCCATTGGATTAACTTCATCTGCTTGTGACCTGTGCATAATGTACAGTCCCTGAACAGGGCCAACAATCTAAAGCAATGCATTGAATCAAGCAGAGCTGTTTGTACAGCATAGTAAAGTAACATATTATTTTAGTTTAGCTGTTTAAAATTTTGATATTTTGAAAAAATACTCAAAGACAACCTTCGAAATTCATGCTAGTCTGCTTAAGCCCGAGTCAAGTAAATTGTGAGAGGGTACCAGGGTTTTAGTTTGACTTTAAGGGTCCTTGCAGGCAAATATGAGGGTCCTCAAAATTAATAAAATGGTGTAGTATACTGTTCATTTAGATAATCACTTAAGAGCCTGGAATGACTCAATGATCATGTGGACAGTGGTCATGATTGATGGGTGAAATAACAGACACCCATACTTGCTCTCAAGGTGCTGTAGGTACAATGAATGTTATTGTGTGCCCTTGGGATGCAGCATAATTTTTTTCTGTATCCATTCTCTACATTTGTGGGTACTGGTTGGTTGGTTGGTTTGTTGTTTAACGCCGCACTCAGCAATATTCCAGCTATATGACGGCGGTCTGTAAATAATCGAGTCTGGACCAGACAATCCAGTGATTGATATCATGAGCATCGATCCACGCAATTGGGATCGATGACATGCATCAACCAAGTCAGCGAGCCTGACCACCCGATCCCGTTAGTCGCCTTTTACGACAAGCATAGTCACCTTTTACGGCAAGCATGAGTTGCTGAAGACCTATTCTACCCCGGAATCTTCACGGGTCTTGTGCGTACTGGATGCACATCTGTACGTCGCATTATTTTTAACCCTGGGGTTCGGAGTTTTGGCTGCCAACGCTGAGCGCAATGGCAGATAAAAAATCTTTATCAGTCGGTTTCCACATTGCTAAGAAAATATGTTGAACTCATATATGAAGGCAAATGTCTATAAGGAAGTGAATCATGCGGTATATTTGTCGACAGACCAAGATGCATGCACTTTGCCGAAGCACATAAACTGTAATACAAATTTGGATTGGGGATCTATTAGGAAAATACTATTGGATAGTTTGTAGCTCTGTGTAGCAACAAGTTAATATCAAAATTGCTTATAGGGAGCAACACAGATAAGTTACCCTACCTATACTGTACTGAATGAAATGCACGAAGTCAATGCAGTTAGTGTTCGAAAACCCATGAATGATAATTCTCTCTTGGGAAGATATTATTGTATTCAAATTACAATTTAATATAGTTTAAGTTTCCTCAGTCAGACACTGAGATATAGCACCACAAGATAACATTGTACTAGTGATGCATGTGATAATGACACCAAACAACTACTACACTCCATGCATTGTCCTTGATGATCATAACTAATCGTATTGATAACAAAGTTTTAGCAAAAGCGCTGTCCAGAGTTTTCAAAACTTACAGGTGCCCGGTCCGATTAGTTACAATAGACACAAACAACTAAACAATAAGGGAATTGTGATCGATACCTTTCTGTAGGCTTTGTACACCGTGGCGTAGGTTCCACTGCCAAGTTTCTCCGTAAAAACATAATCTCTTAAGTTAGGAACCACGATGCTAGCAGACGAAGATTTAGCCATTTCCGTGTTGCATTTTCTTACCTCCGGAAATAAAAGATCTCTGTCAACTGGTGTTTTAGTTCAGAAGCGTAACGCAATATAATATTGATATAGATGGAAACAAGTTTCTGATTGATATTTTTGGATTATTCCGTCTACTATTTCATAAAATATTTGGGGTCAAGTACTTCTTTGTCGTTGGGTTTGGTGCATTCTCAAAACGGAACAGCGCTATGTCGGTCTGAAATATATCGGTATTTTTATAAATAGTACCACTACGGCGCCTTGTCACGTGATTTTATAGAACCAACATGGCGGCCGACGTAACCAGGGAAGATGTTTACATGGGATACAAATATTTTGACGGTTTTACTGTCAATAGATACCGTTAGCAATATGTGGGCATAACATAATCTGTGACATCGATTTACTGCTTAGGTGAGAGGCGTTAACGGCTTGTGTGATACATATCTGAGAGGATACAAAATACTAGGCCTTGTAGATCCCATATCACACGGAGTTCAAATTGGTGGCAAGTCTCCGGAGTTGCCAGGACGTGAGCGGTTCACGATGGGCGTTCGGCGTAGATGACATTTTGGGGATTATGGTTTGGAGGCTGCATGGAGGGATTTAAACAGTACATGTGTAGACAGGTAATGTTACGTTCTATTTAGCCTTGGAGTGTTATTTAATTACATAGCGTTGGGTAACGTAATGTTGTTTAGAGTCAAGCTATTTAATGTATCAATGGGGGTTTTAATCACATGAGCACATTTCTTGCATTTTGATTTTTACTGTCTGACCCTCCAAAAAACCTAGTCTATCAGATTTCTATGTGGATCAGAATGTCTTTTCAAATAGATCTAATCAGTAAATAAATCTAGGTCAGCATTTTACCACATAATTGGTTGGGTGGCGTTAAAATCCTTTTATTCTAACTAATAGTCTAACATACATGGGACAATAGGCTTAAAAAATTAAAAGAATTGATTCTCAGGCAGGCGGGTGGTGGTTTTATTTTATTGCTTGTTCAAACTAGTATGTAACCAAATAAACAGTTGTGTACAATCAACATGGGAAAGGGCCTCACTACATAAAAAAGCATACAAACTCCTATTGCCACCATGACCATGAGACGAAATGCGCAGTAAAATAAAAAAAATTAAAAATGAAAATAAAAATGAAATGTGTGGCCGACTTCATGATGATGCGGGCGGTGCCTGAGAACCAAGACTATTATTTTTTTTAGCCATATGTAGAATGACAATATGGTGCTGTAAGTGTCAAGTGCCAAGAATAAAGGTTTGGTTTGGATCCATGTCTCTCTTTCCCTCTGTGATTTTGTTTTTACCAAGACGCCTTATGTTATAGCTTGAAAGTAATCTTCAGGATTAAGTAATTTGAATAAAGATCCCTAACAAAGAATGACATGGTTAATTAATCTAGTACTTAAGAGGGATTAATGCAAAAAACATTTTGGGATTAGCCACATGATGTATTAAGGAACAATAGGAGAATTATTAGTAATAGAAAAATAGGTTTACACTAATACAATAATTCTCTACAGGTCAAAATAATTCTTTTCAATAAGTAATAGGTTGAATGGGTGTCAATGTCATTAATTGTTATTATGACTTTTGATTTCTAATCCTTTCCAGATAGCTGTAGAGACAACACTTTATGATGGCAAAGAGACCGACCACAGTCGTGTGCTATATCTGTGGCCGAGAGTTTGGGTCTAAATCTGTTTCTATTCATGAACCACAGTGCTTAAAGAAGTGGCACAATGAGAATAACAATTTACCCAAACACATGAGAAGGAAACCTCCTCAGAAACCAGAGATCTTTCCTACTATAGGTGGCAGTGGAAAATATGATGCAGAGCGTTTCAATGAAATGGCATGGCAGAGTGCACAGTCAAATCTAGCTGAGTGTGAGAATTGTGGGAGAACATTTAATCCAGACAGACTTCCAGTCCACCAGAGGAGCTGTAAACCTGGTAAACCAATGATGCCACTGAAGAAGAAGGGAGGAGAAGGAACAGGGGGAAATGACCAAGGGTCAAGGCCAGGAACCGCTACCCTGTCAAGTCCAAATGTCATCAATATGAACAGCTCCGTAGATCTTGAAGGGAGCCAGCGCCCGAAAACCCCTGCCTCTAGGTTAACAAGCAGATCACAGTTGGGCTCTCAACCAAATGTTGGAAACCGACAAACCACTTTTACTTCTGACAAGAAGAAACCACAGGCAGCCAACCCTCCTGCTTCCAAAGGACCCAGGTTTGTTTTGTGTTATATATGTGGCCGTCAGTTTGGAACATCCTCAGTGGGAATTCATGAACCAAAATGTTTGGAAAAATGGAAAATTGAAAATGACAAACTTCCAAGGGAACAACGTCGCCCAGAGCCAAAGAAACCGGAAATACTTAAAGCGGGAGGTAAAATGGATGCTGAGGCAATGAATGAGGCTGCCTGGAAGAGTGCCCAGTCTAACCTGGTTCCCTGCCCCAACTGTGCAAGGACATTCAATCCAGACAGGCTTCAAGTTCATCTCCGAGCCTGCAAACCTAAGGATGGAGGTCCGAACGTGTCGTCCCATACTCTGAATGGGCCGAGTGGTTCCCCGTCTGAAGGTGGGCCCCAAGCCAGTAAGAGTGGATTCAGTGGCAAGCCCCCAGCTCAGAGGGGCCCTCGGACAGTTGTCTGCTATATCTGTGGAAGGGAATTTGGATCCAAGTCTCTTCCCATACATGAACCTCAGTGCCTTGAAAAATGGAAAATCGAAAACCAAAAACTGCCCAAAGAATTGCGGCGACCACTCCCCAAGAAACCACAAGCAGTTGGAGGTGGCGGACTCACTAGGTGAGCAGATGATAATCATAACCATAATAATACTTGTTAAGATGAATTAGAAGAACTGACATGATGACGAGTACAAAGGGTGTATGTGGTCCAAATGTTTCATGAAGGTTAAATCAGTAATTCTAAGTTTTAAGACAAATAACACACACACACACACCCCACCCCAAATACTTGCCATCCTGAAAGTGATTCTATTGTCAAAGAGATTCTTTATTCAAGCAAGCAGGTAAGGTTTGTCACTCAGCTCATTTGTATTTTAATTGTGAAAACATGACAATTCCACTGCTATTCATTGACTGAAAAAGTTCATACTTATGGAATTGAGATTTTTTTTCGACATTAAACTTTTGCACACTGCACACTCACCACTAAATATGATAAATGCTCTGAAATATACTCTTCAGTTGTGAACAAGAGAATGACTGAATTTGAAAATGAGAAGAAAACAATTCATAATGTTTCAGACAATCTGCAAATTAAGTGGCTTAAAATACCCTTTAAACCTGATCACTACATTTATGTGTGGCACATTTGTTCATGGAGATTAACCGAATATACCAAAGTTGACAATTAATTTGCAAGTAACCGTGGTAACTGTGATATTCCAGGGATCAGATGAATGAAGCTGCATGGGAGGCTTCCAAGGCTCAGCTGATTCCGTGTCCGAACTGCGGCCGAACATTCGCTCCGGACCGACTGTCTGTCCACCAGAGGGCGTGCCGACCAAAGACCGCAACCATTAGGAAGGGAGGCGGGCCAGGCATGAAAAGGTCAAATGCTGCTAATGAGGTACTACGCTGATTCACCAATGCACATACTTTTTTTATCCTCTGAAAAAATGACAAAAACTTCACTTGGATATCAATAGTGATTGTGGTGTGTCGTTCCAGCATTTAGTAAAAATACTGGACCGGAACTGTCTCTCTTTTCATATGTCTGACAATAAAAATAATTGCAATAAAAATGTTACTAATGTTTTATTGGCTTCAAGGTTTTACCCTCAGTCATTTTCTTCCAGCCTCCTCCCATCTCCAAGCCAGCTGTGATACAGAAACCTCGCACAGTTGTGTGTTACATTTGTGGCCGGGAATTCGGAACCAAGTCAATATCCATCCATGAACCTCAGTGCATCAAGAAATGGCACATTGAGAATGACAAACTGCCACGGAACATGAGACGCCCTGAGCCTAAGAAACCGGAAGTTAGAAGTATTGGAGGTGAGTTTCACACAATCTGCATCTGTGATAATTGTACTTCAAAATTCGCCACCTGTAGAGAATCTGTGCAGATTAAGGTCGTCATTATTATCTTGTAAATTCGACCTTATCCTAACTCAAACTAATTTTCTGATCTCTTCTGATTCCCGAAAGGTCGTGGAAACTTCCTGTGCTGTGTTCCCAGAGAACATCTCACCTCTCTCACACACAGGCACACTGGAACTTATTTTCACATCAGCTAGCTAGTGAAATGTTAGCTAGTTTCTAATCCATACAATCCTGTCAAAATTGTCCATCCCCTTTAAATATTTTGGGTTTGGATTACCCTTTTCTATCATCCCTTCATCATTCATCGTATATTTTCTGAATGTAGCAGGTAATTTATTCTTTGCGGCTCTGTGAAATCCTGTCTATTTTCATCATGAAGAAATGTACCTAGTGTCGGCTACTTAACTCCAATCGTGATCCTCACCCCCGTCTGTTCTACTTGCATGACACGATACTACACTGTACTGCAGATAACAATTGCAAATTCTGCTCACCATAAGAGGATGAAGATTCTCTTTCAGATTAAATCCTCCTTGGGGCACTTATTGCATTTTCCTGGCTCAAGAAAATCTACATGACATAGTTGTAACCATTTTCCTTAATAAAAATTGTTACCACACAAAAAACTTTGTTTTTGTATGATATACGTCCACCCTTATGGTGCCTCACCCTCCACGGCGCGTCACGCCAAGGGAAGCAACTCTCACCCAAATCACTTTCCTTATGTCATCTGACAAAGACAGACGTGCTGTTTTTTTCAAGACAAAATAAAGTACAAGATAATCGTTCGTACAAGAACCATGGCAGACCAAACTGTATGTATGGTACATTTCTTTCATGCAAAGGCGTAATACCTCGCATTGTAAAGTTATAAAGTTGTAATTATGTGACACGTGTACGATACCTTTGAAACAAAGGCCGTCGTAGCGTCCATTTTGTAGTGCCACGTATGATACATGTAACACCAGGGCCATCAAAAACGGCTTGGGTTTTTTAATGTTATATCATCGGGCTTTAGCCTTCAATCTTTTCCTTTAAATAAACCCAAGGTGGTGTGTTAATTATTTTTAAATTACACTTACCTTTTTTACAGGTTTTTTACACCTTCGCGCGTAACACGCCCACTTTGGTGTTATAATTATACTACGACATTGGCTATTAGTATCGCGTTACCAATCGCATTCTAAATTACGCCTTTGCTTCTAGTTACACAATTTATGCACGTATCTTTCCGATCTTTCAATCGCACTGATACACTTTATTACCCTTCCCGCCAAACTAAAAAATTACGGTCTTTTTTACAAACTGTGTACGGGGTGCTCGGCTTCGATTCCCCCCCAAGACAGGCATGATACTTGCATAAAGTGTTTGGCCGAAGACGGGCATGACGATGGGTCATGCCCGATCTGTGTTGCATTCACACCACGGGCGCAGAAAAAGAGAAATGTGGACCTCTTACACTTTAAGGGTCTATTGAAGGCGGGGGTGGACATTAGATCGGCAAGGACCGCCCCCCCCATCTCTAAAAAAGTAAGAAAGGGTAAAAAAGCAGCTGAGACTGTCTCCTCCGCTCCCTCCCCGGGGGCCGGGGGAGAAGGCTCTAGGGTCCCCGTCACAATCACTGCACCCTCTCCTGCACCGTCTTTGGCAGACATCTCTGCCTTGTTGAGGTCGCAGATGGCGTCAATGATGGAGGAGGTAAAGTCTCAGCTCTGAGAGGAGATGCGGACCGAGCCTTTCCCTGTTGTCGGCGCCGGACGCGGCATCGAGACCTTGTGATATGCCCGGCGTCGGCCGAGGCAGGCCACTTGGTCTTGGGGACGATCTCAGACCGGGCTTGGGCGCCGGCTCGAGGTCGCTCCTCAGCGGAGGGGTGACGGGCACTGGCCCGTTCACTACCGACGCACAGTTCTCCCTAGCGGAGCCAGACGCCTCTTCCGAGGCCGAGGCTTCCTCTAGTGGTTTTCTAGCCCAGAGCCAGGTGGGTTCCCTTGAACCCCCGGCACCTCGGGACCGGGACTCGGCTTCGGGCCGGGTGCAGCCCGGGGATGCGAAGGCCCAGGCCTTCGGGCGTCCCCTTCCGACTTCGTCTGCCTCTTCTCTCGGGGAAGAGTCGATTAATTTCGGCTCGGAATCGAGAGAGGAGGAGTGGATGGAGGAGGGGGGAGACGACTCGGAGACCTCGGGAATATTTTCCTTCGTTTCCTCGTTGAGGCATGTACGGGACAAGATTGTCCAGGTACTGCCTCAGGTGGCTGCGCCCATGCCCCAGTCGGATCCGACTGAGTTCCGCCTTCCGGGGGACGCTTTTGCTCCGAGCAAGGCGCCCAAGGTGCGGCTCCGTATTCTGTCCTCATTGGTGCATGAAGTCATCAACCCTCTGTTGTCGGGTGCCCGCAGGAAGTTCGACCTGCCCGAACTTATTAAGCGGTACCCGTTAGCAGAGGATGGTGATTTTGAGGTACCGGTGGTGGACGAATGCGTCTGGACCTCCGTTACCCTGGGGGGGTGTTCGACCCCCAACTTGGCTAAGGTCAAGCAGGGCCGGCGGTTGCCACCCTTTCCCGCGTGCGGTACGGAGCTGAAGGCTGCTTACGTTTGCTTCGAGGAGCAATATCGTAACGCATGTCAGCAGCTCCGGGTGTCCGTACACTCCGCTTATCTGTCGGCCGTACAGAGGGAGTTAGCGGGGCCGGCCGACTCTTCGGAGTTGGCCGCGCAACTTACGGAGGTACATAGTCATCTTGCGAGGGACGCTATTCGTAGCTGTGCCTCGCAGATGATGTGCGCAGTCATGGGCATGCGCAGGCTGTGGATGTCGGTATCCAAATACTCGGCTTCCACACGCCAGGATCTACTTGCTTTGCCTTATAAGATGGGTGCCACCCTCTTCCCCGGGGCTCAGCAGGTGGTCCGAGAGGCCGCACAGTTGTATGCCTCCATCAAGGATTCTAAGGCCTTGTTGGAGGTACCATGCGTTAAACCGCGTAAGCGGACCTCTCCACTTGCTTCCTCCTACGCTGATGCGCCGGGTCAGAAGTCTGCACCTGCTTGGAAGCAGCCGCTTCCTTCAGGTAAGGGCGCCGGGAGGAGCAAGAGAGGCAGGGGCCGGGGCAGGGCAGCTGGTCAAGGCCAGCAGCCTTTTCGCGGGGCCGGGAACCCATCGGGTTCCCATTAGCGCCCAAAGTGCCCCGGGCGGACCCACGGTCGCATGTTATCGAACTGCCGACAGCCGGGGTCCACTGCCTCAAGCCGGATGTCCCCGTAGGCGGCCGACTGGCTCTATTCCTGCAGGAATGGGAGACAGTCACATCCAATCCCTGGACCCTGTCCACTCTAAGGGATGGCCATTTGCCTCGGTGGAAACATCATCCGCCCCCCTTCTCCGGGATAAAGCACACTTCGGTGCCTGCTACCCTAGAGAGGGCGGAATTCCTCCGTGCCGAGGTCGACGCACTTCTTATGAAAAGCTGCGATCGAACCGGTTCCCGTGGGACAGGAAAGCGAGGGCTTCTACTCGACATATTTCCTTGTCACCAAAAAAGACGGAGGGTTCAGGCCTATTCTCAATCTGAGAAGGCTGAACAAACTTATAGAGGTACCGTCCTTCAGGATGGAGACACTGCGCTCGGTGATCTCAGCTGTCGAGACCGGAGAATGGCTAACGTCAATAGACCTAAAAGACGCCTATCTCCACGTACCCATACACCCCGAGTTCAAGAAATACCTCAGGTTTTCTTTCGACGGGAGGTGTTATCAGTTCAGGGTTCTACCATTCGGGATCGCTACGGCCCCGAGGGTGTTCACCAAGCTGATGTTGATTCCCGCCAAAGTGGCCAGGTCAAAAGGTCGGTTCTGCCATCCGTACCTCGACGACTGGTTACTAAGAGCTCTATCACAATCCCTGAGTCAGATAGCTACACAACAAGTGATAGATATTTTGATCACTCTAGGGTGGATAGTCAATCTCAAGAAGTCAGATCTGAGCCCTACTCAGAATCTAGTCTTCCTAGGGGCGAATTTCAACACGGTGAGCGGACTTGTATCCCTGTCACAAGATTGCATTACCAAGGTCAGAAGTGTTACTTCACAGTTCCTTCTGTCCGCCAGTCACACTGCTCGTACATGGCTCCAGTTACTGGGCAACATGGCGGCGACAGTGGATGTGGTTTGGCGGGCGCGCTTGAGAATGAGACCCATTCAACAAGCGCTCCGTCGACTTTGGGTGAACTCGGAAGATCTCGAGACTGTTCTCGAGACTCCGCAGTGGCTCAATGCACACCTTCAGTGGTGGACCGAGGTCGGGAATCTGTCCCGGGGGCTCCCCCTCGACACTCCCGTGCCGTCTCTCACAGTTCAAACAGACGCGTCACTCTCCGGCTGGGGAGGCGTTCTGAACGATCACACTGCCTCGGGACTATGGTCCCAGCAGGAGATCAAACTGCATATCAATGTGCTAGAACTGAGAGCGGTCAGGTTGGTGTTCCAACGCTTCCTGGATCTGCTTCATGGCCAAGTGGTGCGTCTAGAGATGGACAACCAAACGGCGATGACTTACATCCGGAAGCAGGGGGGAACGGTGTCTCCGTCGCTTCTCCAAGAGACGTGACAGTTCCTCCTATGGTGCGACTCACACGTTATCAGGGTGCTACCTGTTTATCTCCCGGGGGTAGACAACGTCCGTGCGGACGCTCTGTCTCGCCGGATCCTCGCTCCTCACGAGTGGAGGCTCGACCCGGGGATATTCGGGATTATCTCCCAGTTATACGGGTCGTTCCAGGTGGATCTGTTTGCGTCTGGGGTGAATCACCAGACACCAACGTTCTGCTCCCGAGTCCCCGACCCGAGGTCGGTGGCACCGGACGCCTTCCAGCTAGATTGGACGGACAGAATTCTGTGGGCATTCCCCCCAGTACCTCTGATTTCCAAGGTCCTGTCTCAGCTAGCCACTC